GTGCAGGTTTTCCATGTGAGAAGAAACAAGCTGCCTCCTTGCCCTGTGATTCATGCTCAGAATAATTTTTTTGTGTAGGGAGCTTAGGGCTTTACAAATGAAAAGACACTAGGTGAATATTAAGTCTGAGGACTGCTGCATAAATTGAAAGACTTGAACATCTGTGGTACTTTCTCCTGTATTTCTGGTCTAGCAAGTTGCATATAACTCATGAATTCTTGTCCTCCTTATGAATAATGCCAACATTTATGTGTTGTACGCTTATATTTTTAAATTATTCCTACAGTCTGTCAAATCCAGTTAGGTACATCCCACATTTGCTTTTATTTATCTACAAAGTGCAGTCTCCTTCTTCATTGCAGTTGGGCTGCCAGCATGGATGGAAACCATCCTGAGACGTATATGAATTTAAATGGCAACAGAATGACTGGCACTAGGTATGTGTTTTTAGTGTCAAGGCTATAGTAAAGTATATCATTAGTTGTTAAACATAGTCTGCTGTCGGCTCAGTGCCAATGTGCTATCTTATGTGCTGTGCCAAACCTTGCTGAGAACCTAGCATGTTCTGTAGTTCAGTTGCATATTTTCTCAGTTGTAACTGCAGAAATGAGAAACCAAATGTAGTGACACAAAATAACTTCTGAGCCATGTGAATGCTGGATTCCACTGACATGGAAACCAGTCTTTGGGCCTGGAAAGTTCCTGCTGTTCATATTCCCTTGGGCCTCGTTTGTCCTCACTCACCCGTTCTGAGGAAATGGGAGTGAAATCATCTCTGAGTATCCTTCTCAGATCCTTGCTGATCGTGAATGACTGTGGTGGCTTCTTGCCAGTTACTTCCCACAGTCACAGCAAAAATAGGAATACAGGAATATAGGAACACAGGGCAATGGGGAAAGTTATGCCTTAGATTAGTATCTCTTTGTGTGGGGTTTTTCCTACCACCTGGTGGGATAGAAAGTCTCTTGTTACATTCCTTTGTATTGCTTTTCCACCTTGCTTCTCCATCCTTCTCTTGTAAGGGTGCAGGTGAAGGAAGGTCATTGAGTGCTCTTCACACATTTGCTGCAGAGGATGGGTAATCTGATGCAAAGAAAGGCCATTTCACAAAAAGTTTTTGCATAGTTTGGTCCTGCAATTGCAGGAGTTAAGGAGTAAGACTAAATGGTGAGTCATTTAATATTGATTTTAAAAAAGTCATTTTAAAATTATTCTGCCTCAATAATTTTGTAAGGGAAGTTATTAAAATCATAAAGTAATTTAATTTAAAGCAGGGATTCAGAAAGTGCTGGAGATAATAGTGTAAGCAGTACTTTTAGCAGAAATTGTCTTACTAATATACTATTTTCTCTATCTGATTTTCCATATTCTGTGTAATGAAACATTTTTGATATACTGTCACTCTTTTGTGTGCTCTGTATTAAGTTTAATAAAACAGGACTATAAAAGTGAGCTAAGTTTTTATTTAAATGCATTTTATGATTCTGTTGCATTGTCAAATAGTGTAGTCATGAGGTGAGGCAGAAGGCTGGTATATAGCAGGAAGGAATGACAGAATTTTGTCTGCAAAAGCAAGGATTTAACTAGACATAGATATCAGTAAGTGAAAGAAAAAATATTTTTATCTGATGGTGTAGCTTACTCATTTGGATCTCTGCAGGAAAATATTAAAGAAATCAAGAAAATGGAAGTGATCTGGTATAAGCATAAAGTATATTTTCCAGGTTGCAAAACACTAAGGCAACAACCAGGAATTAATTAAAACTATTTTACAGAACTACAGATGTTAAATTTTTTGTTGGTTTATTTTATTTTGTTTTGCTTTATTTTGTTTTACTTTTTTTTTTTTTTTTGCTAAGATTCTTCCATGATCTTTACTGCTAGCCTGGTTTAAAAGGTAGAAAAGGTGGAAATGACCTTAAAATAGATTACTGAGAAAGTCTGAAAGACTGGTTCAGCTCTGCTGTTCTAAAAAAAGGCTTCAGTGTTTCACTGAAAGAAAAAAACTACAAGAACTGAAAGGCCCGATTTAGAATTTAACCACAGAGGGATAATTTCACATTGGAGAAACACATCTAAAAAAGTATTAACAGCAAGAGTTCCACCAGAACTAGTGGTGCCTCCTCTTGAAACAGCTTTTAAAATTAACCAGTGAAAGATGACTGGCTACATTTTAGACTATTTAAAAGTATTACGGGGTCTCTGAGGTCCAGCATATTAATTCTTTCACTTGTATTAAGCATAAGGACAGACTGTAAAAGGGTCTTAAATGTTAGGGTTTTGTTTAGCTTCTGAAAGCCCAATACTAGTAGAAATATTTGTATAGAACCCATTAAACTAGGAATTAAAAATTTACCCTTCTCACTACATCTTTTGATTTAAGCTCTGAAGTCTGCAGTTCAAATGCTGCAGCAGCCTGCAGAAATTAAAGGAACTGCAGATGGGCTTCGATAGTTTCATCCCTAATCAGTGACTTGCAGAGTAGATAAGCAACAAAAAAGGTATCCCACCTTGAAACTGGACAGAGTCACACATAGGAAAGTCAATAATTGTTCAGATTTAACTACAGCAGTTTTAACTGTACTGTCCAGTTTTACATTTGAAACTGAATAGATTCCCACCAATTCAATTTAAAGGAAGAATTATGTGGACACACCCCGAGTTCAAAGAACAATTGACAGCCAGGAGTGACCTATCTGAAAGTAATTAGTGCTCTTGTTCTGTCTCACAGTACATATGCGTCCATCCACAGAAATGTTTCCACTAATTCGCAGTTAATGTGACCAGGAAATATGAGACTGGGTATATAGGGACCAATCCTGCAGTCATTAACAGAGAGGACAACAATTCTTAAATATACTAGAAATGAGATAGAAAAGTCAACTAAAGAGAAATCTCTGTACTATCTCCGAGCAGTTGGCTATGGATCTGATGGGGTAGGATCATAGAATCATAGAATATTTAGGGTTGGAAAGGACCTTAAGATTATCTAGTTCCAACCCCCCTGCCATAGGCAGGGACACCTCCCACTAAACCATGCCACCCAAGGCTCTGTCCAACCTGGCCTTGAACACCTTCAGGTGATCTGAGGATTGCTGTCCTACCAACAACCTGTTGAATAACTGACATGCTGGAAATCAGAGACCTGGAGCAATGAACCTATGTGTGAAATTCTTTGGGAATGGGGTTAAAAAAATGATTTTACTTTTCTATTTTGCAAAAGAAACCACAGAGTTATTACAAATGAGCTGGACAGTGGCTCTGCACTGAGATAGATACCCTTTCATCATACAAGAAACGAATATCTTTGTGTAACCAGGGACACAGGCAATGTTTTACATTTCATTCCTCATTTTCTTTTTCCCTCTGGCAGAACTATTTAGTTGGTGGTTAAGTGAAACTCTCTGCACTTTAGAACTTCACCTCTTTTAATTGAAACTGAGATACTGTGGCTGCTCAGAATTGCATCTGGTTCTTCTACCTGCAAATCTATCCTGTGTTTCATTTTGTACTGAGTAACCGTTCCCCTTGTAATTTTTTTCTGTGAAAGCTCCACTTACTGCCACTGCCAAGCTTTGTGCTTTCCCATGTGGGAAATGGACAAAGTGCTTCTCTTGAAGGAAGGAAAAGAAAAAAGAGGACTATTTTAATGGTTTTTATTCTCTGGACACTACTGGTCTTTGGTATTTGTCCTAGGGACATCTCTTAGAGTCATAGAAGAAGCAAAACGAAAAGCAGTACATGGGCAGAAGTGAGGAGAAAGATTATGAATCACTAAAATACTCTGAAAGACTGATAATTTAAAGGTATTTCCAAACTCACATGCATCGTGGATGTTTGAGCAATATGTACAAGCAAAAAAGTTCTCTTGCCCCTCAGATGAGCTCCCTTTTGTTAGATTTCAGGATCATGTTCATTCTTCACTCCTTTGGGATCAATCTAAACTACATATTCTTTCTACAAACTGAAAAGACTTGGGTAAAAAAGGGTGGAGAATACCTTCATTCTCATCCATCTCTAACACTGAGCAGGCAACTGTCTAGGGCACTCTCCAGGCAGGGAATTTTTCAGTGAGATTGATGGCAGTAACAGTAGTACACTTAATTTAGTGGCATGTCAGATACTGTTGTGAAAAGTGTTAGTGGCAAAATTAACTACAACTGGCTTTATACATATTCACGCCATTGTGACATGAGTACATGCCTGCAAACAAAGGCTAATGATAAAAGGTAATGGGCCTGAGTAATCACTTGCATTCACTGGTGCTAGTTTTTAAGGTTCATTGAAAATATCCTTTGCTTACAACAAGAGTAAATTTGTCCAGGTATGTTAAACTGCGGAGAGGGGTCTAATGGAGAGATTTTAAATTTGGCCTTGATTAACGTCATCATTAATGATCTGGAAGAACATGGCAGTCAGCATGTTCATTAAATTTGCATGGGATACAAAGGCTGGTTTCAAATACCACTGAAAGTACAAAACCACAGAGGGGCAGAGAGAATCTTGACAGAACAAAACCAATAAAGAGAAGAAAAGAAGAAGGAAGAGGAAAAATAGTGAAAAAGAAAAGAAAAAAAGAAAAAGAACAAAAAAAAAATAGAAAAGAGATTCAGGTCAGCAAAACGTAGGTTGATAAAGGAAATTATTAATATTCTGAATACAGTGTAGGAAGAAGTCTGGGTAATGCCCACAGAGAGAGTTCTTATATAATGAATAATAATAATAATAATTTAAAAAAGCAGGTTAAGAAAACATGTTTATACTCTATTAGTGGGATCATACCACTGGTACATTTCTTTAAACAAGGACACACGTTATATAGACTTCTAGGCATGTCAAAATATTGACAGATTGGAAAGAAATCAAAAGAATACCTACAAATACACCAATAACATTAAGAGAGAAGGGGGTGATTTCAGAGCAGAGTTTTAAAATAATCTATACAAAGTACTGGAGGTAAAATAGGTTTTCAGGGAGGAATTAGGATATGGGGAATATTGCAGTGCATGTGTGAGAATGGCAGATATGGGTTCAGGGTAATGCCATGTTGTGTGAATGCAGCAACGGGAATCACAGCAGTGAAGATTCAAATTGGGAGCATGGAAAATATCTTGGAAGTAAAATCTTTTCATCTAGGAAGTAATTTTCCCAAGGGTAGCTGGGATTTAACATTTCTGTGTATTTTATCCTCTCTCTTCCCAAAGCAGTGTTAGATAGATAGGCAAGTGCTGTTATCCTCTTTAACTGGTGGGATAGTAGGATGCTGCTTGACACCATTGCCAAGCTCTCACGGGCTCTTGCTTCTGGAAGGCACTAGATCTTCTCTCAGTTCCCTACAGTAGAGGACAGCCAAAGTGCCTCAAGCTGTAAAGAGATGAGAGCAAAGGATACAGATCATTAATTGTGACATAAATTTTCTCTTTTTTCAGTATGAAGTCAAAGTAAGATTTTTTGTATTTATCGCATCAGCCTCAAATTATAAGTGCTGTATTTCTTCATATTCTTTTCCAGCATTGAGAATATGGTGACTTTATTATATTTTACCCTGAACAAAGCAGTATCTTAAAGTACTAGAGGTGTTAAAAGTCTGCTTTGCCTGAAGTATTCCCTTGTAGAGTCTATTTTTAATCTTCCTTTTGAATAATCACTTTTATTGGCAAGGAGAAGGAAAATACTTCTTTTTTTCTGTTTAATCACGTTGAAATTAGAAATAAATGCTTCAGAAAACCACCCATGTTTTTTTTTTTTCACAGAGTAATTTCAGGATGATGGATATTTTTGCAAAAAATATTTCTTCATTATCTTCTGTTTGGTGATGGTCTCATCAGCTGCTGTAGTGAATTTAGTGAGTCTTTTTAATTTGTCTGCTTGTTTCAGTTTAATTAATTTTCTTATATATGGGAAGGATTGATGTAAGTTAAAGATTAAATTCCTGCTTCAGATAGCTGAAATAAATTGGCAGATCAAACCAGCAGCTATTACTATCTTCTAGGTTTTTAAAGTAAAATTACTTTTTTTTGCTATCATAGGATCCTTAAAGTCTATGAAATGTTTTTTCCAACCTCTCTAAGCTGTAATTACTGTATGAGGAATGAGAACTCTGGAGACCTTTATTTGTAAGCGCTCAACATTTGAGCCTCAGCAATGTGCAGTACCAGCAGAAGGAAGGATCATTTCTGTAATTGATTCACTGTTCTTATAAAAAAAATTAACTTCAACACAATAGCAGAAATAATCATAGGACTCTAAATATCAGTGACTAAAGAATCTCTGTGGAAGAACACATAAGCTTTTTATTGAACACCTCTGGAGATCAGCTTTAAGTATTTATTTTTTTTTTTTTTTTGCCAGCCATCTTGGGTTTCATAATTAAACCAATTGACTTAATCACTTTATGCTACTGAAAAATGGTGTATTTCTTTTTCCATCTTTTTTGAGCCAGTAAGCTCTTCATATGTCCTGGGTTCAGCAGTAGCAGTCATTTTTCTCCTCCTTGGTAGCTGGTGTAGTGCAGTGTTTTGACTTTCAGCTCGGGAACAGAGCTGATAACAAGGATGTTTTGGTTTGGCCAAGGACTTTGTGAGCCTCATGCTCTGCCAGGGAGGAGGGGGAGCCAGGAGGAAGCAGAGACAGGACACCTGACCCAAACTGACCAAAGAGGTATTCCATACCACAGCACGTCATGCCCAGGAGGCAACTGGGAGTTAGCCGGAAGGGCTGGGAGACTGCGGGGTTGGAGGAGGTATCGGTCAGAGCTTGGTCGGGCTGGGGGGGGCGAGTTATCGGTCGGCTGGTGGTGAGATGATGTATTCTCTTCCCTTGTTATTTCCTTTATCATTATTATCATTGGTGGTAGCAGTAGTGATTTGTGTTATACCTTAGTTACTAAACTGTTCTTATCTCAACCCGTGGGAGTTGCATTCTTTTCGATTCTCCTCTCCGTCCCTCCGAGAGCAGGGGGAGGGCAAGAAAAGGGGGGGAAGTGAGCGAACGAATTACCTGACTGGGTTTAAACCACGACATCATAGTATGCAGTGTCATTTACCATGTGTTTGCTCCAGTTTAGACTGAAAGTGGTTGGAGATTTCCAGATGATACTGTAATATCAGTAACAGACAAAAGCCAAGTTTCTTGTCAGCAGGATCCTTCCATCTGAAACTCCAAAACACCAGACACAGAAGGGTTATGTTTGGAGTTCTTCATTTCTTTATAACCCAAATGAAAAATAACTACTAAAAGATACAAGTGGTGTGATTAAGACAATGATATCAATACAGAACAGCTGAAAATTCTGGCTCCACGGATGTGGGGGGAGAGCAAGGTGCATGGCAAATCCTCAGCAAGAACAGCCATGCTGCAAAGGTTGCTAGGCAGAATTTCGGAGCCAGATTTTGGGAAAGCCGCCCAGGAGACTCCCACCTGCGCATAAGAATCCCTTCACACTGCATGCTCAAAAATTTCAGGAATTAAACCCATCCTGTGTACAGGCTTAGAGAATGCACATTTTGTGCCTATTCTGTCCTCCCATAGCTTCTATGTGTGTCTCAGTTGCCAAAGGTGCCTTAGGCTATGGATTCAATTTCTTTCCTTCTAGACACATGAGTCTCGACTTTTTGGCAGCTCACTGACTAAGCTTGAACAGCTTTGTACGATGAATCCAGGCCTTCAAAATATTGGCAACAGAAATTAAACTATCAATGTTAATAAATCAAAATAGCTGCTGTATGATTCAGAGAAGAAAACAATATACTCCTCTAATAACAAAGCACTTAAAAACTAATTAATGGATAAACTAAAGGGATGAATAACACTACCTTGAATATCTTGAACATAACTTACATCCGTATGTTTTAAGGAACCCGAAGAATAAACTAAGAAAGCATCTAGTCTAGTGGTGAGTGGTATTGGAAGAGCACAAATTTATTTTCATGATTCATAGAAGTGAACAATATGACTTGGTAAATCTGATATCAGTTCACCAGTCATCAGGAATGGAGATCATGATCTGTATTCAGTTGCTGAAGGTGCACAAGAAGCAGATCAGTAGGTTGAAGGAGTTGACTGGTGCCCTGCCTTACATCTGCAGGGCACCAGTCCTGAAATTTAAGGATTTTAATTTAAAGGTTTTACTTCAGTCTGGGTTTAGTGTGGTCCTTTGGAGTCAATATGGCCCAGTATAAATGTGTTCCTCCAGGAAAAAAAAAGAGATAAAGTGAACTGGAGAGAAGGAGCTGTGTTCAGAAAACCATTGTCTCCACAATGGTTATAGAGGTCAAGCAGTTCGACATGGTTTCCAGTTTGGTACAATTTACAACACTGGTATATATACCACAAGAAACTTGCGAAATTCAGTCAATGTATGGGACTAATGTATGGGAAACTTTTATATTGTATGTTAAATGGTGGTTTATGCACTCTAAGTACCTGAGTGTGGAAGGTGTGGAAGATAATTAAGAGTGCAGAAAGCGGTGAATAAATGGCAAAAACCTTCTACATTTAGGATAAGGATGACTCTACACATACTTCTGCTTCCCAGCTTCTGATATGCTTTCTCCTCTTTACCAGCCTTAACATATGGGGAGGCTCTCCTCCATCTCATGGATGCTGGCAAACTGCCATTCCTGGGCACTGGAAATGTACATGGATGTGTCACCCCAGAAAGAGGGAATGCTGCAGCATTGCCTTTCCTGCTAAAACAGGCTGTGTGCTGCTGAGACACAGCTCTGTCCCTGGCTTTTCCCCAGCTTGCTTTAACTTCTTGGGCATGCCAGCTCTGAGATAGCATTGACCTTACATCTCTGCATTCAGATGTGTGCTCCCTTCTCTCCTCACTCACTCCCCTTCACCTTTGCTCCACTTCAGGTGGTCCCTTCTGGCTTCAAACTCTGTAGTAATGGAAACGATTATTATCAATACTACTAGTCTGTACAAAGTGCTTTGCTTTTGTTTATATGAGGTGCCTGTTTACCAGCAGTTCTAAATGCAAGTGCCTTGCTGTAACTGCAGACACACAAAGCATTTCAGCACAGAAACTGCTTGAGGTCAGCTCTGAAGTGAAATCTAACTTGACAACGAACTCTTTAAAATAGTCTATCAGTTACTCCATATGCCTGCTGTAAAGTGATAGCAATGTTGAATGCAGGCACATGGAGAAAAATACATGTATGAAAAATTTTATTGAGTCTATCAGAAAAGGAAAGCCTGTACAGCAATAATAAATAAGCATAAAAAAACGCATTCCAAACAAATCACATTTTGGCATGTTGATAATGTAACTAGCTTGTGCTTCAGGATTTATACTGAAATAGCAGTCAAAGTTTTCAGTCTAAATTCAGGCCATTTGGAAACATCTTTTCTGTCTTTTCAATTTGTATTAATTTGCCTTTTTTTTCTTTATAATCAAATAATTTGAGCTCTGGAAAGGTAATATACCTGCAAGTAGATATGTGATAACACTTCATCACACCTATTCTAGCAAGCAAGACTTAATGCTTGAATAATAGGGCTTTCGTAGATCCATAACAGGTACAATCAGAAGTGGCATGGAGTGGGCATTAGAAGACATGGCTTCTCTGCAATGGAAATTTCCATTTACACCATTTGTGAACATAAAACTCAGAAGACTTTCATTTTTGCCAGGATAATAGAGTATTTAAACAAAACTGTTACTTCAGACAGGAAATACATATTGCCTCCTAGCTCTGTGGTGCTTGTTTATGTAGTTATGGTTTTCATGGTGATAGGTGCTATTACATGTTGAAAAAATACATCTGTTTTAGGCTCTCTAAAGCTACATCAGAGCAAAATGGGTTACACATTGAAGGCACAATTCTTTCATGAGAATAAGAGGTTTTAATCTGCAAATGCAGCATAATAGTATTCCCAGGTCAATTCCTGCTTTGCTCACTAAGGCAAATGGTGTAAATTAGTTTAAATAGGTGGTGGAATTGAAGTGACAAGAGTAATTTATGCTACCTGAGGTTCTGTTAACTCCTTTAAAAGATGAGACACTCTGTTAAAGTCTTTGCAGACTGGTCTAATTGGGCAGGCTTGAAGGATGCTCAGTACATTTCCCTGGGTCTTGCAGCTCACTTTGTAGAGCCTGTGGGCAGAGTCCTGCAGCATGGCTAGGTTGTCAGCTGCCTTCCATCACAGACTCTGTAGCTCTTTCACACAGCTTTCAGACTGGTTTTGTTTCTACCACTGTATTATTGAATACTGAATGTACTCTTTGCACTCACAAGTATCTTCAGTGCCCAGAGGTATGTGATCAATGTGAGATATAACAGTATCTACCTCAAATACTTTTTATAGATAACGTTTACTGGTTCTGAAATATACACAGTTTGCACAGACTGCTGCTGACACATTTGATCCATAAGCAAATTATACCTTAGTCTCAAATGTGTGATACCAGAATGCCAAAAAAACCTCAATTTTATGTCATTTTACGTATGACCTCCAATGTTAAATCACATGTTTTAGAGCAATGTAGTTTTTTCTATTACAGAATTCTTAGATGGGGAAAAAAGCATGGGCACAGAAATGAACAAACCCCAATTTGTTCTTTTTATTCTTGAAAGAGGAGCTGCAGTGTGTCGCTTGAGCAATCTTTCCTCAAGTGTCTTTCCCAGTAAATTACAGTTTCTCTTGCACGCCACATGCATCATTAAACATTCCATGCATCTCCCCGTGTTTCTATATCCTTTCACTGAGAAAGCCAGTAATAAGATTAATCTTTGTCACTAACAATCACTTGTATAGCTATGAGGAAGGAGCGTTTTATATATAAATGCACAATGGAAGCCAAAGGTTAAGCTGAGGTCTACTAAATTAAGGTCATCTATCAGTATACTCAGTTTTCTCATACCTCTTCATATATCCCTTCATATACTTCTGTGATGCTGTTATATTCAGGCATTTAAATGCTAATCCAGGGATCCAAATGATTGGTAGTTAGCCATCTGCTCTTGATATAAACAGTAATAGCAAAGAGAAAACCAGAGCTAGAAATATGGCTATATATTCAGTACAGGGCTTTGGGATGACTTTCTTTTCACACCCTTAACAACATCCTTGAGGAATCAATGCTTTCTCTTCCATCCAGGCATCTGAGCTACCCCTAACTTTTAACTAGAACTATGAGTTAGGAACCAGCTGGCTGGGCTTGCCTGAGATCATCAGGATACAACTGATCCTGTAAACAAATATGCAGTTGTTGCACAGTTGTACCTGCGGAAGAGGATTTAGTGTTCTTGGTTTGTGAAAACACATGCTGGAGGAGTCTCCTGCAACTCCTATGGAGACCTTCCATTTGCAATTGTGATCCTCTGTGCTGCTGAATTCCAGTCCTATGACCTCTGTGAATTCTGTATTGGTGGCAGCCCATACTTTTTTTCAAAACGCAAGATGGTGTAAAAAGGCAGCTGCTGTTCAGGGTGTATTCTGGATTCATTTTTCTTATATTGTATTTAATTCTTTAAAGTATCAGTGCAGAACTATGCGGTACACATGAACAACACGAGATCACTCATATGTTAACAATTAACTATTTTACTTCATCACATATTTCTAGGTGTTATAGAAGAAATAGATCTTGGCCAGACAAAGAAGTAGAGAGCATTTTATAGTGACCTATACCTTAGATAAGCAAGGTATGTCCGGGAAATGTTAATAAGCATTTTACCTCTCTGATCTCTTTCTGCTTGACTGATTTATCATTTAATGCAGCACATTGCTATGCAGGTATGCTTCCTTTTCATGATCCTGCATTCCACCTAATAAACCCTGCCCTTCAGCAGGGCTTGTTAACACAAGCAGCCTGTAGCACTACTAGCTGCTAGTGTTTTCAGTTTCAGCATGGCTGTTAGCAGACAGATCTATTCTGCGTTTGAGTCATGTCCTTTGAATGAAAGTCCCACAGCCCAGAAAAATGGGAAAATAAAACCAGCTTGCAACCTGGTGTCAGGGCTCCAGGTGCCAGAGATGCAATTTCAGTCCTCCTGATAAGCCAAGGTGCTAAAACAGTGAGAGGTGATGTGCTCAGCTGTTAGGGCTGAGCAGAGAGGATCCTTCCAGTTCTGAAGTTTATGCTGCATTTTGGGAATCCTTCAGGGTGAGAAAAATGTGATAAAATACCACGTGTAAAAAACAAGAATGTGGGTTTAGTTCTCCCTTTGCTTCAAGCCTCCAAGTTAGTCAGCTTATAAGGCAATTTGGGTAAAACAGGTGAGAATTCACAATCATTTACCTGAATAAATATTTTGAGAATATAGGTATGTCTACATCTTTTTCCTCTACTATGTAAGTATTTAGTTCAGCATCTACAGCCAAAAACTACTGCTAAAGGGAGTTTTCTGGATTTATTTCAGAAAAAAAAAAACAAAAAACTAAGTAATTTTTTGTCAATTTTTGCTAAAAATAGCTTTATAGGGAAAGGTGTCTTTCATGTAAAACAAAATCATAGGTCATTTTCTACAGAGGTGCAAGGTGTGAGTTTTCTCGTATGCAAAGAAAAATTGGAGCTTTGTCTCATGTTCTGTATAAGTGCTTAACTCCTACTACCAAGAGATGCTGTGTGTTCAGAAGAAGTGGAAAGGATGCTACTGCACCTCACCCCAGGCCTGAGCTTTTAGGCACGTGTTAGGCATCCTCTGAGAATGGATATGGGTCAGAGTATTTGGGTGGACAATGAGGAATTATTTAGTGCCTGGATTTTACTCGTGTTTCTGTTTAAAGTAAGTGTCAAGCTACTTACCATTGTCAAGAGCAAGGTATTTCCTAGTATGTCCAGAAGCTGAGGATTCATTTCAATCTTTTTCTGGGTACTCCCCTCTTCTGTGACTGCATTTACTGTTGTTTTAAATTTGACTAATGGTATCTACGTCATGAAGGATTTCCAAGTCCAAAGTAATTAAGTCTGAAAAGCATGTTGAGACATTCAGATAGAAAGCACTGTCTAACTGTGCTGGTATAATTATACACTGCATAACTGATCCAAGTACCAAAGAAAAGTGGAACATGAAAGAACAGCTAAATTTATCCCAGGAAATGGGTTCAGCAGTTCAGCATTCAGATTTAGATCAGTAGAGCAGCCTTACTGCTGTTAAAAGCCACATAATCAGCTAATTTTGGCTGATTTACTATCGGTTGTTGTGAAGTGCCTCTTTATGTGTGTTGATTTAGTTATTAATTAAGAGAAGTTTTATTGTACAAGTAACATATGGTTTTGTTTTAAAATGTTCTCTGGATAAAACATTTAGTTCTTGATTTCAATTCTTAAATATTTTTCTTCCATTAAACTTACCTTACCTTCTATGTTTTGCAAGCCATACACAGATCATAGCATTCATAAAGTGATTTTAGGATATGGGGCTGAACAATTTCGCACAAATATAGCATACTGCAAATGAAAACTGAGAGAATATTTAAAATCTTCCTGGTGGTGTGCAAAGATGGTGACTGGGCTACAGGTACAGTATTTAATCCCCTAACCTTTTCGCCACCCACGTATAAAACAAATGCCAAAATAATCTGCCAGTAATGTAATCTGCTTTGTAAAACAGCTAATGCATTTTGCTTCCCAAATTCTGATATCATTGCTTGTGCAAATAGAAATTTTATAGCTCACACTCATGCATTCAAAATTAATTGTGTTAGCTGATAGAAGTGTTGCTTTATGTTTTTTTCTGATGCCACCAGAGTAAGAGGTCCAGTAGCTTTTTTAACAGATTTTTTTTTAAAGTACAGAAGCCCTTTTAGTAAAAGAGATAATATCTGTTGCATCTGGAATTTATCCTAATGTTGTAGGTGGTGCAGCGGCATTGTGCACATCGAAGCAATGCTGTACAGAACTTTTGATTTGAAAAGAGAATTATAAAAGCAACCAGCTAACCTTGTCCCCATAAACACATTCAAGGCAAAGTTTTCTGTTAATGTTAACTGAGCAGGACTGCATGCTGTGGAGATGGTAGTTTGTACCTGGCCTGATGACTTAAAGCATGAGTATCATGACCTCGTAACTCTTCTTCACAGTAGAAGCAAGCAGAAGGTGCTGCCGTCAGCTGGTGGCTCTGTGTCTTACTGAGTCCTGAGTGAAAGTGCAAAGAGCTTTGCTAGGCTGCACTGAGGGACAGTACTTCAGACAACCAAAAGTGCCCGGTCTGGGAAAGAAGTGAAATAGTGCACCCAAATTCTGCTGTCCAGGGTGCTGTCCTGTTGTAAGCTTATTCAAAAGGGTAAATACCATCCCGATGTGCAACATTAAACTCATTCTCAGCTGCTGCTTAAAATTCACATACTCTTCATTGGTTGCAGTGATTATTAAAAATACTATGTATTAAGAGCAGTAAGAATATACTTAATTGTATAATACGTTAATTATGTTCAGAATTCCTACTATGCCCTTGAATCCCAGGGGGACTTGTGGGGTTTTGGGTGATGTGATTGTTGAGTTTTAAGTGCTAAAATATAGGCTGCAGTTAACGGCTTGGCAATGAATGGGATGACTGGTTCAGTTTTACTTTATCACTGATTTATGTTTATTGTATGAGAGATAAACCAGAAAAGTGCTACTGCTCATTCAGACTGCAGAAATCAGATCTTTTTTTTTTTTCCTATCAGATGTAGAGAAATCAGATACAAATGTTGGAGAACTTACTTACAAAAAAAATTATTTCAAATAAAATCTATACTGAGACTCTGTCAGTAATAAAGCCTCCTAGAGAAGAGGAAAAATTCACAAAAGATAAGAGTAATAAAATTGAAAATAAAATTAGCTTAGGATTTGTAAATTGCTGCTGTTACTTCTTAATGGAATGGGTAAAGGATTTTAACTTTTTTTAAAAAGAAGGAATAATTCTAGATTAGATTATCATAATCTCATTCATATCATAAATTATGTTATTCCAAATCATAACTCAGTGCATAAAATTGAAAATTTACTTTTCAAGATAAAGTCATTATAGGCGAATTGTTCTGCTTGGGTGAAAAGTCCTAAATGGCACTATTTCTTAGAGCAATTTTTAATGACCATATTTCAATTAGAGCACAGTGGTAAGCATAATTACTATGCATTTTCAAAAATCAAAGCAACTATCAGGCTGGATTTGGCTGCTTACAGTTTGACTGTGTGTATACATGATACTTTGCTGATGTTACTATTGGGATGTGCTTGTTTATTTTTTTAATAGAGATTTTCTTAGCAAAACCTCACTGTTTCTGGGTCTTGCGGCCCTGCCTTTTCGGAAGGGCTCAACTGGCTGACCTGCCATGGCAGCAGGAAGCTTTGTAAAGCTGATGAAATACCCTGCACCAAAGACCTTGCTTTGCCTTTAGACACTGATGAAGGTAGAAATCTCTGGTTGGGGAACAGCAGCAGACTTTATGATTCATTCAGGTTGCTGCAGGGGGAGATAAGACAGCAATGGAGCGTTGGCATGCAGCAGAGGTGAGTGTGGGATGGGGTGACCATGTGGCATCCAGATCTGGCTCTTTACTGGTTCTGGTTTATAGAATCATAGAATCAAAGACGTTGGAAAAGACCTTTAAGATCATTGAGCCCAACTGTTACCTCAGGACTATGAAGCCCACCACTAAGCCATGTCACTAAGGGCAGAATGATCTCTCCTCATGGCTGCCTCTCATGATCTCCAGTCACAGCCATCCCTCATCTGCCCTCTCGTAGTGGCCCTCACAATATAGCTGCCACCCCTACCCCTTATTGCCACCCCCACCCCTTATTGCCACCCCCCACCTCCTGTCAAGATCTCCCCTCATGGCCATCCCTTATGGCCCATGGCTGCCCCTGCTCTCACTTCACAATCTCCCCTCACAACTTCCCCACCACACCCTTCATGATCTTCCCTTATGGCCACCCCTGCTCTTCCCTTGATCTCACCTCACCTCTCATGACCGCCCCATCTCTCCCCTCATTATCTTCCCTCATGGCTGCCTCTGTTCTCCCCTCATAATCTCCCCTCATCCCTCATGGCCACCCCTCCTGTCTCCTTATGACTTCCCCTCATAGCCGCCCCTCCTGTCTCCTCAAGATCCCTGTTCTTGACTGCTCCACCTCTCCCCTCATGATCTTCCCTCATGGGTGTCCCTGCTTTTCCCTCACAATCTTTCCTCATGATCTTCCCTCATGGCTGTCCCCACACAATCTCCCCTCACCCCTCATGACTGTCCTTCTTGTCCACTCGCGATCTCCCCTCATCCCTCATGGCTGCCTCTCCTGTCCCCTCACGATCTCCCCATACTCCTCATGTAATTATTGTTGTTGTTGTTTTCATAGAATCCCAGACTGGTTTGGGTTGGACCCTTAAAGCTCATCCAGTCCCAACTCCTGCCATGGGCAGGGACACCTTCCACTAGAGCAGGTTGCGCCAAGCTCCATCCAACCTGGCCTTGAACACTGCCAGGGATGGGGTAGCCACAGCTGCACTGGGCACCCTGTGCCAGTGCCTCAGCACCCTCACAGGGAAGAACTTCTGCCTAAGAGCTCATCTCAATCTCCCCTGTTTTTGTTTAAACTCATTACCCTGTCCTATCGCTACAGTCCCTAATGAACAGTCCCTCTCTGGCATCCTTGTAGGCCCCCTTCAAATACTGGAAGGCTGCCACTATTGCGACTAATACTACTATTACCGCGGTGTTTTGGGAGTTCTTTTCGGCCTGCCGCTGATGTTTCCAGCGCCAGCCCCGCGGGGTGCAGCCGCAGCTCCCTCAGGCCTGCAGCGGCGGCCGGCTGTTGAGGGAGGGCAGGGCCCGGCCCCTGGGCGGCCGGCAGGTGGCGCTGCAGGAGCGCGGGCGGCGACCCAGTCCCACACTTCTTTCGCCCTCTCGCGCTCCTTCCGTGCTGCTTCCGCGGCCGAAGCCCCACCAGGCCTCGCCCCCCCCCCCCCGTTGAGAACGCTTTCAAAGCCCGCTGCATCTGTGTCCACCTGTTGGTCAGCGCTTGTTTTGTTTGCCGGGAGCTCATTCCCGGTGTAAACGAGATAGGTACACAAATATCAGTTTAGCATTTTTTTGCCCTTAAAGGTAGAAATCTATGAGAGTCACTCGGAAAGAATGAGGTATAAATCACTGTGCGTGCTCGGGATCTAGCTGGCCTCCAAGTAAACCATGGGTGTTGATTGCTGCGTTGTGTTGTCGTGCTTTTGATGCAGGCGCTGCACAAACAGCTGAAATGAAGATGTTTGCTGTGATTGCATAGAGATAAATGGTAGCAGATGACGCACAAGGGATGAATAAGCCAGTGTTATTGAGGATTTTGGGAAGGTATCTCGGGATATTGCCAAAGCCTGGCTTTTGTCAGGCTCTCAGTGTTTTTCCTTTGTTTTACTGGGAAGAAGGAAGTTTGAGTCTGATTTTAGCCACTGACTGAATAGAGCTGATTGTCAGTCACCCACAAAAAGATTTTAGTCTGGATGTGTTACAGACTTATAATAAACACATGAGGCTGTGAATCATCAGCAGCAGCTAGTGAATGGTATGGAACAAAAGGCTATGGATAATGTAACCTGGAGACAAAATGTGGAGAGGAATAAATAATTAAAAAAAAAGGACCGTAGTCAAAGCCCTACAAAATTCTGATAAGAATCCTCCAGAAAAATGACAAGGTTCTGCTAAACTTGATGTAGTAGAGATCAAAGCAATGGGTGGAGAACTTGGAAAGAATGGCTTCAGAGAAACTGAGAAAAAAAGTATTCCCAGGAGAATCTTTGTGCTGGAAGTGATGCATTAGATAGATAAAAGTCTGAAAATGGATTCTTGAGATTGGTTAGTAAGAGTTATTTAGAAGAATTAATGATATTATTGTAAGCATATTTCCAGAAGCAGATCGGATTTCAGCTGGCTGGTCATCTCATTAATGAACTGTACTTAACTCATGTGATATGTTTTCTTTTTATGTTCAAGACTGAGTGTTCGGAGCCTCTAATGCATCCTCCTGCAGCCCACATGATAAATGTGGCAAAGTTAGGCAAGGAGATACTTATTCATAAGTGTCAGAGACAGTCAGGAAGCTGGAGAATTCTTAGGATGTTATCGCCAGTCACTGACCCTGAAAAGATTGACATATGATAACTCTGTGAGACAGCCAGGTTGGGAGTTACTCTGGTTTGAGGTCATGCCTCTCTGCTGGTGAGAGACGACTCCTACTCTAGCTTTGTCCTCCAGAGGGTCATTTCTTCTGCTGTGCTTTGATTTTATTCTTTAGGTATAGGTACCTGTTTCAAGGTGTGAGCCTGTCTAGGAAAGAAGTTTCTGAAAACTGTATTTTGATTTAAAAGTCTTTTATGGAGAAAAGGTTATGAAGAAGAAACTTTCCAGAAACTATAATTTTATTGTTTTATTTGCTTGCAACTTGAAAATAAGGACAATATAATACTCATATAATATCTTTACATCTGAAGAATAGGGGTAATAACCATGTGCTGGACATGTGTCCCAAAGCAATTGTTACCATTTCATAAATTATCATGATATACTAAAGTCTGGATTTCATCTACATATTTATGGTTCACATGCATTTCAGTATGTGTAAGCTCCTCTGGAAATAATTTCTTTTTTGGTTCATATAATAAGAAGTGTTTGGCCTTCCTTGTGAATCCTCCCTCAACTTGCTATCTACATTCTCCAGATAAGTATAAAATCATGGACTGTCTCTCAAAAATAAGCTCTTCCTTAGGAAATTGAAGAGCTAGGAGTGAAAGGTTTTATATTTTAATGAATTAGAAACATTTTATTAATAATGTCTTCTAAAACATGTATTGGACAGGAAATTGCCCAAATAATTTAAACAGATTTTACTTTGATTTGTTTTTATCATTAATATAATGTAAATTTAATATTAAAAACTGGACTCAGTGTTCTGCTGATGAATCAGTATTGGTCTTGTAAAGAAATAATATGCAGAGTAACAAATGGCAGGAAGGATAAAATCAGCATCTGCTATCTGTTAGCTGATCTCATAATTTATAAAAACAGTTAAGACTTCAATGAAAACACAATTATCAGAGACACATTTTGGTTTGAGGCAAATTTCTATTTTAGGAAGTGTTATTGATAACATACTGTGTACGAACCTGATAGACCACAGCAGCCCCTCTGTTGATGAGAAATAATGTATGTAATCAAGATGAGCCTTGGCAGAGCACCTTAAACCACAAGAAAATCGGAATCCTAAAAGAGGAGCTAACAGACAGAATGTTATCCAGAGGCCACTAGGGGTATGATACAGAATATTGAGCATGCTGAGAATTAATAGAAAATACACATAGGTTGGCTGAAATACAGAGTATTATCTTGTATGTATATTTACATTTCCTTCCCACTGTGCAGTGCTATGTCTCTAAGGTGGCTGAGGACGTCAGTGCAGTTCTCAAATAACCATAAGTTTGCCACAGACATCTAGCTGGTAAAGAGACAATTTAATCCATTGCCATTGGAAATTGCAATGGATTTTC